TGGTTTCTTGGCTTACAATCTATCGGCAAATATGGCCCGCGAATATTGTTTACATAAAAGGTAGTTAATCCCGATAACGATAAGAAATCTTATGCATCTTCGTATAACATCACTTTGTGAATACTAGCTGTAAAATTTAATCGATATAAAATGGAGCATAAATTTGGCCAAAAGCCTTATAAACAAAGAAGTTGAATCAACTATAAGCACATACGTACTTGCCTACGTGTTTACATTTTTGTTACATTTACTACTTTTATTGATAGTCTAGCGGCATTCCCGCTTTGAGATTTGCCAAGAATCTTTAAAAAAACGCCTTTACTATATAAACATTAGCGCATCAAGTAGATGTGAAAATTACAAATAATACGTAATATTTTAAAAGTTCATATAATGTATACCAGCATTAATTATTGACTTATCACTAATCACGATATGTCACGATATGTCACGATAGCATTAATGCTTTACATATCACAATTTTGTTTAAAAACGCTTATTACGTATAGTGATTTATGAAAAAAGTCACTTGTACGTAACATAGAAAAGGGGTTAAATATTTCCTATTTAGTAAATGTTAATATTAATAATTATACCTCTATCGCCACCTCAAATAATTCACGTGCAGTGCTTGGCGTACGTACGAAGTACGTATGTACATGCATACCTTAATAGTCGTTGTGTAAACACTTTATTAGGCCATTAAAAAAATTTCCGAATTAAAGTCTTGGCATGCTTGGCATTCACTCCAGATTATTTTTGACTCGATTGCCCATTTTTCTAACTCTTGGCCATTTTATCCACCTATCCATCCACATAATTATTGGTCAAATACTGTTACATATTCCTTAAAATTTTGCGCTTTAAAACATCGATATTTCTCAAAATTATATATTTAACGGCTTTTCAGTCTTCAAAAAAAGGGTAAGGTCGTCATACTATTAATAATATAAAAAAAAAAAAAATTAGTTGATATCTCTAAAAACTTTAACTAATAATAATATATATATTAAAAATTATGTTAAAAAGTACAAAAGAAATCATGGCATCCCCACTCTTGGTGTTTTCATCATCGATGCCAACGACGATACCCTCAGTAATTTTTGGAATTTTATTCTTTCTCATGACTATACTTCATTTGTATCGAATAATACAATATCGACGACAAATATATGTATACTTATTTACATTCAGTTGTTCTCGCACGGTGGTATATTGCATTCGTATTGTATGGTCTCTCAACGTAGATGTTGATGAGTTAGGGCTAGTTTCCGGATTTATATTATGCGGATTTGAATTTTTCGTTATAATGGGTATTTATACATTACTCACAGATTGGGTTCGTTTAATTACAAAGTCGCAATCAGATTCATCAGGTTCATCAAAAGGAAAATTATTTATGGAAATTCTTTTAGTTAACATAACAAAAATTGTGTTGCCAGTTTGTGGAGTTTTGGGCGCTGTTCAGGTCATCCAAGAATATGAGGATGATGGTAATGCATATGATGGTTCTACTAGCGGTATTTTACGTAAAGTGTCAACATTAGGATTTTTAATATGCTTAACTTTATATATGGTTTATGTAACTTATTTCGCGGTGGTTTATGTTAGAAAACCTATTAGTCAACAACTTCATGTTATGCTATTATATACCAGTGGAGCTTTGTTATATATCGAGTTGGTATATAGAACATTTATTACCTTTGCTCAAGCCACGGATTCTGCGAATAGATATGAATGGATGATTTATGTATTCGAGGCTATGCCAGAATTAGTATTATTAGCTATTTTGGGTGGAATCATTTTGGGCGACTGGTTTTTTGAAGAAGCTCCGGAAACGGATAATGAATCAAAGATAAATGATCCAGAGATTGGTACAAATAAATGGATTTTAAGAATAGTTCAAAGTGCAAAAAAAAAAACTAATGCGTAAAAGTTTTGGGCTTCGATATCTTCATAATAAATAGATCACTCAAAGTTACAATGGAAGAACATCCTGCGTCGTTTTGTAAAGAAAAAAAAAAAAATCGTAGAAATGCATGTAACAAGATTCTAATCAAACATACCTAATCAACAAATCACAACCCGAAATAATAAAACATGTATAATCAAAGAAAGTGTATTTAATAATAGTCAAAGACATTACATTTCTCTATATAGCTTCTTTTTTTTTTTCTTTTTTTCTTTTTTTTTTTTTAATAAAAAAAAAAAAAAAAATAGCAAAGTATATCAAGGCATATTTTCTTTTTCGATGATTGAGTCAAACGTAATTTCGTACATGCGAAAAATAGGGACAATGATGGCGATGATTTAT